ACGTTACCTACGGTACGACGTACGTCCGTTTACGTTTACGTTCCTTCGTCGTACCGACGTTTAGTTTAGGTCGACGAGTCTACTCGTGTAGTCCGTCCTCGTCGTACTCTCTCTCTCTCTCTCTCTCTCTCTCTCTCTATGTACATGAGGTTCTCATTACATGTCACTTGAGTTTTCTTGGGATTTCTATTCTGCATCTTCTATAAATGGTTCTTTCACTTTCATTCCTTGGAAGGATAAACATATTTTGTAGGATGACTTTTTTTTTTTCTCTCTTTCATTTAACAAGGTGGCGAATTTAGATAATGCTAAAATGTTGCTTACAAAAATTCCATGAGGGATGGATCTATTTGGGCATCCCACAGGTTGGTTGCTATTACCGTTATGCACGGTTTATTAATGCCTTTATTATATATACTGAAAATGAGGGACCACTTTGCAAAAAATTAGAGTGAAGACACAGAAATTAGGGCAAGTGAATGAATTGGGCATGGGTCTAGACGGTCGTAGCTGGGTTTTAATAGCACTGCTCGCAAGTTCCATTCCTTTGGCTAGGGGACCTATCCCCACTGAACCAACCAAAAAAATAAACAGGTTAGGGTGAGAAAAAGGAAGGAGAGAAGAGGAGAAGATGGGAGGACACTGAAGCAAAGGTTGTGGGAGGAGAGAAGTTAGATATGAGCGAGAAGGTAGCAGGGGGACGAGTAATGGTGGAGAAGTCAAAAAACCATTTACATGGTGTCCATGATCCCCTCTACAGCGCCCTCCTTAGGTAGCGTATCAGCCATCATATTGGCCTCACTTGATTTGTGTTGAAAGTGGCTTATAATGACCTGCAAAGATGGAAAATGTGATTGAGAATATGGTCTATAGAGGCACTGGGCTTTTCTGGAAGCCATGAGATTACAATCTTTGAGCCTTTTCCAAATTTAGGTTGGAGCCCTAGGTAGGGTGATTTCTTATGTGACCTTTTAAGAGACCATGGGTGTTAGCCATGGTAGAATCCATGATTCCTAAGTAGCATGAGAAAGAGGATATGATATCTCCTAGGGCATTTATGAGAACCTCTCTAATTCCACTTGGGCTTGGGTTATTGAGAGAGCAACCATCAATATTGAGTTTGATGTTGTCTGGGTTGGGAGGAAGCCGAAGATTGGATTGTTGGGTGACTTGGGTCTATCATTGAGGATGTCTGTCAAGTTTTATTGAAAAATGTTCCTTGGGACATTTTTTAGATCTTTGTAGTTCGTGGCCCAAAATATGATGGGGTCTCTAATGTGTTGCAAGATGGTCCATACATTCTGCTTTGACTCTAATGTGTTGTAAGATGGTCCATACATTTTGCTTTTTCTTAAAGAATTCTTTAGTTTTCCTCAATTCACTTGGCCGATAATGGGGCAAGGATTGCGACCCTCCAAAGGAATGGCCAAGCAAAGTTGGATTGAGCTTGAAGTGAACCAAACCCATTTGAAGTCGTGGAGGAGTTTACTCCCCAACGAGGTGATAAAGACAAGGGAAAATATCTTTGTGCTCCCTATTTTTAGGTTTCATATCTCAATAGACCCAAGATTTTAAAACATATTTCGAAGCATAGAAATATTAGGTTTTATATCTTCTAACACCCTAGACTAATTTTACCCACTTTAATCCTAATTTTTAACCCAAACTATTTGTAGGACAACACTTTTTAAATCCCATCCTTTCTCTTTCGTCACATGATATTCTCCTAATTTCTCTCTCTCCACCGTGACTCACCCCAACCCTTTCTGTCTCACCGTATTACCCCACTCTCTCTCTCTCTCCTCCCTTTTGTGTTTCTCACTCTCTCGCATCCTAATTTATTTCTTTCTATCTCTCCGCCGTGACTCTCCCTAATTTCTCTCTCTCTCCACTATAACTCTCCCAAAAAATCAGAGAATAATTTTCAATACTATGCAAAAGAAAATCATAGCTCTGAGATTAAATTGAAAGTAATAAAGAAATATGAACATTATTAATAGGGAAAAACAAGGAAAATTAATAACAAATGGAGATTAATAATAAACAATGAAGATTAAGAATTACAATGGCTACTCTCTCTCTCTCTCTCTCTCTGTCTCTCTACATGGGGTTTTCACTACATGTCACTCGAGTTTGCTTGAGAGTTTTATTCTGCATCTTCTACAAATGGTTCTTTCACTTCCATTCTTTAGAAGGATAAACATATTTTGTAGTAGGCGTTTTTTTCTTCTATTTCTTTCATTTAACAAGGTGGCGAATTTAGATATTACTAAAATGTTGCCTACAAAAGTCCCACGTGGGATGGATCTATTTGGGCATCCCACAGGTTGGTTGCTATTACCGTTAGGCACAATTTATTAATGCCTTTAATATATATACTGAAAATGAGGGGCCACTTTGCAAAAAATTAGAGTGACGACATAGAAATTAAGGCTAGTGAATGAATTGGGCATGGGTCTACACTGTTGTAGCTGGGTGTTAATAGCACTGCTCTCAAGTTCCATTCCTATGGGTAGGGGCCCTATTGCCACTGAACCAACCAAAAAAAAAAAAAGTTAGGGTGAGAAAAAGGAAGGAGAGAAGAGGAGAAGATGGGAGGACAATGAAGCAAAGGTTGTGAAAGGAGAGAAGTTAGAGATGAGCGAGAAGGTACGAGGGGGACGAGTAATGATAGAGAAGTCAAAGAACCATTTACATGGAGTCCATAGTCCCCTCTACTGTGCCTTCCTTAGGTAGCGGATCAGCCATCATTGTGGGCCTCACTTGGTTTGTGTTGAAAGTGGCTTATAATGACCTGCGAAGATGGAAATTGTGCTTGAAAATATGGTCTATAGAGGCACTGGGCTTTTCTGGAAGCCATGAGATTATCTTTGAGCCTCTTCCAAATTTAGGTTGGAGCCCTAGGTAGGGTCACTTCTTATGTGACCTTGTAAGAGACCATGGGCTTCGCCTTGGTTGAATCCATGATGCCTAAGCAGCATGAGAAAGAGGATATGATATCTCCTAGAGCATTTATGAGAACCTCTCTAATTCCACTTGGGGTTGCTTTACTGAGAGAGCAGCCATGAATATTGAGTTTGATGTTGCCTGGGTTGGGAGGAAGCCGAAGATTGGATTGTTGGGTGACTTGGGTCTATTGTTGAGGATGTCTTTCTAGTTTGATTGAAAAAAGTTGCTTAGGACATTTTTTTGCTCTTTGTAGTTCGTGGCCCAAAATATGATGGTGTCTCTAATGTGTCGTAAGATGGTCCATTCATTCCGCTGTCTCTCTAATGTGTTGTAAGATGGTCCATACATTATGCTTTTTCTTAGAGAATTCTTTAGTTTCCTTCAATTGACTTGGCCGATAGTGGGGTGAGGATTGAGACCCTCCAAAGGAATGGCCAAGCAAAGTTGGTTTGAGCTTGAAGTGAACCAAACCCATTTGAAGTCGTGGAGGTGTTTACTCCCCAACGAGGTGATCAAGACAAGGGAAAATATCTTTGTGCCCCCTATTTTTAGGTTTTATATCTCAATAGACCCAAGATTTCAAAACATATCTCGATGCATAGAAATCTTAGGTTTTATATCTTCTCCCCCTAGACTAATTTTACCCACTTTAATCATAATTTTTAACCCAAACTATTCGTAGGACAACACTTTTTAAATCCCATCCTTTCTCCTTCATCACATGATATTCTCCTATTTTTTCTCTCTCCACCGTGACTCTCCCCAACCCCTTCTGTCTCACTATATTACCCCACTCTCTCTCTCTCTCTCTCCTCCCTTTTATGTTTCTCACTCTCTCTCACATCCTAATTTCTTTCTTTCTTTCTCTCCACTGTGACTCTCCCTAATTTCTCTCTCTTTGCACTATGACTCTCCCAAAAAATTAGAGCATAATTTTTGATACTATGCAAACGAAAATCTTAGCTTTGAGATTAAATTGAAAGTAACAAAGAAAAATGAACATTAACAAAAAGGAAAACCAAGGAAAATTAATAACAAATGGAGATTAATAATAAACAATGAAGATTAAGAATTGCAATGGCTACTCTCTTTCTCTCTCTCTCTCTCTGTGTGTGTGTGTACATGAGGTTCTCACTATATGTCACTCGAGTTTGCTTGGGAGTTCTGTACTGCATCTTGTAGAAATGGTTCTTTCACTTCCATTATTTAGAAGGATAAACATATTTTGTAGGATGCCTTTTTTCTTCTTTTTCTTTCATTTAACAAGGTGTTGAATTTAGATATTGCTAAAATGTTGCTTACGGAAGTCCCACGTGGGATGGATCTATTTGAGCATCCCACAGATTGGTTGCTAATACCGTTAAGCACAGTTTATTAATGCCTTTAACATATATACTGAAAATGAGGGGCCACTTTGCAAAAAATTAGGGTGAAGACACATAAATTAGGGCTAGTGAATGAATAGCGCATGGGTCTACACTGTTGTAGCTGGGTGTTAATAGCACTGCTCTCAAGTTCCATTCCTATGGTTAGGGGCCACATGCCCACTGAACCAACCAAAAAAAAACAACAAGTTAGGGTGAGAAAAAGGAAGGAGAGAAGAGGAGAAGATGGGAGGACAATGAAGCAAAGGTTGTGAAAGGAAAGAAGTTAGAGATGAGCGAGAAGGTAGGAGGGGGACGAGTAATGATAGAGAAGTCAAAAAACCATTTACATGGAGTCCATAGTCTCCTCCGCTGCGTCCTCCTAAGGTAGCGGATCAGCCATCATATTGGCCCTCACTTGATTTGTGTTGAAAGTGGCTTATAATGACCTGCTAAGATGGAAAATGTGATTGAAAATATGGTCTATAGAGGCACTGGGCCTTTCTGAAAGCCATTAGAT